TCGACACGACATGGGTAATCGACACGACATGGGTAATCGACACGACATGCGTAATCGACACGACATGGGTAATCGACACGACATGGGTAATCGACACGTCATGGGTAATCGACACGACATGCGTAATCGACACGACATGGGTAATCGACACGACATGGGTAATCGACACGACATGCGTAATCGACACGACATGGGTAATCGACATGACATGCGTAATCGACACGACATGGGTAATCGACTGCAATTAGCAATCAGTGATGAATTGCCCAACATGCCTTCATCGCTCTTATGCATGGAAATTGACTAAACATATTTGAACCACGGCTATATACCTCAGTACACATATAATTGACACTCATTCCCAGGCCTTATGTCTTATTTATACAGGAGCATGCAGGGAGGCTTAAGTGGGATGGCCACTATAGGAGGCATTGCTATAAATGTGCAAATGGACTGGCAGCATACAGCACAGGAGACTCACAGCCAGATAAACCATGTCCCTCTCTATCAGATCTGCCAACTTGCTGAGCAAGTGACCACGTGCTGAAGCGTCCATGCGTCGCCATGGCGATCCCAGCTCCCCGGCTTTCTTAGCGGCAGCCACTGCCTTGTCAACATCTGCCTGTTAATGCAAACATATAAGTAACATAAATCTATCATATATATAAATAGATACATGGGTCAAACTTCGCCAGCAGAACATACAGTGGTTCCCCAAAAAATTGTACCATGAACCCACATCTGTGCCTTAATTACCTAGTTTGCCCCTGTGCCTTTTTCACATGCAATTCCATGTGGTGTATGTGTCCTTCTTTATCCAACAAAACGTGTTGTTAAAAAATAAGTGGCCTTGATAAAACCTCTTTCATGGGAATTTTTGCTTCGCTGCACTAAACTTTGCGATTCACAGAAAAGGCATAAAAGCTGCATGCCCCCATATACACCACGCATGCATGCATGACCCTGACGTTCATGACTTATTCTTGTCCGCACGCAGACGTTTACTGCGTTTGATTTGCTTCCTCAGAGCCACCTGGGTAAACCTGGGTAAGAAATCGAACGCATCTGGGTTAAGGAAGATAAACGAAGGGTTTTTGCGTTAACCCGGGTTAATTATCATCATGGATGCCAGTGACAAGAAAAAAACAAAAAATAGCAATTGCAATCTTATTATTAATGAAATCTAAGAATGAGATTGAGCAAACACACGCAGTCATTGACAGTCATGCTGCATTACTGCTTGAAGAGAGCCATAGGCATAGCAGACGAGACAAGGTTCCTCTGATCGAAAATTATGTTGAGGTCACCGTTCAGAGCTATTCACCCTCTGGTTTTAAATCCCATATCTACGGGGCGCCATGCAGGACAGGGCTCAATTTTGTCTAACAAAACTCAATTCTGTCTCACAAAACTCAATTCTGTCAATCCTGTACCACAAAACACAATTTTGTAAACACAAAACTCAATTCTGTCAATCCTATCCCACAAAACTCAATTTTGTGAACACAAAACTCAATTCTGTCAATCCTATCCCACAAAACTCAATTTTGTGAACACAAAACTCAATTCTGTCAA